GACCCCAACCCAAAAAAAAAAAAAAGAAAAGAAAAGAAAACAGATTGCCGGTACCCAGATTCAAAAATTTTCATCCTGTTACTCTGCAGTGGAGCCCAAGAATCTGTTTCAAACAAGTTTTCAGATAATGCTGACAAAGCTGGTCCAGGTACCACACTTTAAGTAGAAATTATCGAGTTACCCTACCTTTCTCTGACTGTTGACGTTCAGGGTTTCCAAAGACTTCTAGTTTGTACAAAATGTCCTTACACTTTTCCCTCATATCCCTGACCTCTACAAGTCAGAACTGCCTCAAGATTTATTCCATGAAATTCTTCTCTATCTTTAGTCATTCATTCTCTTGGTGAACACATCTGCCCTCATGACTTCAAACAGCATCCATAGGCTGATGACTCAATGCCAACCTGACATCTCCACTAGTATGTCTAAATGATGTCTCAAACTTAACATGTTCCAAAACAAATTCCTGATTTGTCTCTAGAGATACTTCTTTCCTTTCAAATTAGCAGGTCAGATATTTTGGAGTGATCCTTGATTTCTCTCTTTCTTGTAGTCCACATCAGTCTGTACTACTGTTAAATAATTTAAAGATAATACTTCCTACTTGCAGAGTGGAAAGAATTAAGACTTTTTCTCTTTCATACACATACCTATTTGAATAAGGCCCAGTACTTGGCACACAGGAAATCCTAAATAAACTATTATCATTGCTGCTATTCATCAATCCCAAAACTAACCCAGGGATACAGGAATTCATTCATTTAATAAATATGCATTCAGTGTCTAAGATGGTCTAACAATATCTTAGACATTACGACAAACACTGGGTATATAGCAAAAAATTAAGATGGACAAGGTACTTTTTCTTATAGTGCTTATATTCTGGTGGGTAAACAAGTCTACAAATAAGGTGACTTTTGAGTGCAAAAAGGGTCATGAAGAAAATAAAGTGATTGATTCCTGTTTTCCCACCAGAATGTAAGTTCTATCAGGCAGAGCATACGTGGCAGGTGAGGAAAGGCCAAAATAAAATCAAGTCTCTAATTGCCCTCTGAAAATAAATCAGTTGCAGAAAGATCTGGGATGAAATGAATACAAAAGGAAGTGAAAATGCAAAAGCCCTGGTTTCTGGTTATAACACTTCCTGGCCAGGTAATACTTACGAATTTTCTCAACCATTTTAAGTCTTACCATTCTCATCTGTGACATGAAGCTAATAATATCTAACTTACAAAGTTGCTCATCAAATTAAATAGAAATGCATTTATTCATTCAAATGTTTATTTTCAGGGTACTATATTCCAGGCACTGTTCTAGGCACCAGGGACACAGCAGTGAAAGCCCTCAGTTAATACCTGGCATATAATGAGCACACAGTTAATGCACACTATCACGGTTACTACAATTATTTCTACCCTGTGTTTCTTCCGTGGTACAGCCCTGAAATAGTATAAGCCTGAGTGAATTTACTGACCCATTAACCCACTAGATACTAGGAAAGTCATCAATCCTTAGAAAAAAATCCATATTGGTGGGGAGGGGCACCTGTGGCTAAGAGGCCTGGATGTGAAAAACAGGGGGTGAAGAACCAGGGCAGGAAGGGAGCTGGCAAAACCACAAAACAAGAAACCAACGGTCTACTCACCTGGTGCTCTAAAGGCAAGAGACCAGGGGTTACTTCTCCTTTTATACAGTTCTCTCTGGAAAAGGAACAGTTTCAAAAAGGCAAGGCTGTGAAAGAAAAATGAGCAGGAAGGTAACATGAGTTAACCACAATCCCCCCGCACACACACACCGCAGGGGGAAATCTCTCAGAGCCAGCTAGATGCAATCTACCCCTTCCTTTAATCTAGCCCTACTACTTGCTTCAGAAGTCCAGGAAAAGGACCTCTCCTCCCTACAGGACTCAGAAAGCCTCACGCCATTGTTACTGCCCAAAGCAGCCAGTCTTCAAGCCTACATGCACTGCAACTTTCAGGACACAGTGAGAATCAAGACACAAACTCAAGATTTGGATTCAGAACTGTGAGTCTCACGTGCTCTGCGCTACGTGAAGATGCAG